CCCCTTTCCCGCAGGGGCGCGGCCAGCAGGCTCCAAGGGACTCAGTGCCCTGGCCTTTGCCCTCCGCCAGCCCAAGGGCGTCCGGGAGGGCCCCTGGGGTCTCGCCAGCCATTTTCGCGAGCTTTCGGGGGACCGATCCGCTAGGGCGTAGCGGAGCAGTAACTTGGGCACATTTATTTGAAGTTTCTTCTTCCTTCTCTTCCTTAAGAGTTTAATTTCACCTGCTCTTATCAAAATATTAACAGCGCCCTGCAGCTGCTTGGTTTAACCTTTATATGTTCAGTGCCTGAGTTAGAAGGGACTTTAGGGAGTTGAAGCCATTTCCCTTGTTTTACGGATCTGGGAAACTGACACTCAGCGGGGGACCTGTGTGCTCCAGGTCACAGAGTACGTTCGTGGAGTGACCACTGCCTGAGCCTTGCGTGTCCAGCCGGGCGCTTTAGATGTTCGCATCAGCGTTTTGCAGGTGAGGGAAACCCAGGCAAGGGAGGTCCAGTGACCTGCCCGAGTCCACATAGCTCTATAGCGGACAGGTCTTGCGTCTCCCAGGCTGGAGCTCTTTCGAGATGAATATCTCCTTCTCTGATCAGTTTTCCTACCCTTATAATTTTCTGTGGTTCTCGAGTCCCTCTCTTCTGAGTGCGGCATAGGTTGAATTTCGAGCATTTGTTCCGGTGGGTTTGATCTCTGTGCGTCCCTGGCTCTGGGGAGGGCCATGCCAGGCTTATCCTTCTGGTGCGCCCGCGGCGCGGGGGTTTGGGGGGTTTGGGGGTGGGGGGAGTGGGGCTGGAATTTAGAGGTCCGCCCATCTTTGATGACACCTGCGCAGCTCCCCGGTCTGCCTCTACCCCTGGCCATTCGCAATTCTATTCCTCATCCCAACTGCCGCAAAGCAGAGGATGGCCAAATACAGCCGATCCTGGAGCTCGGGGCTGGCTGGGAAGACGCACGGTGTTCACCTCTCTAAGGTGTCTCGAGTCTGCGGACAGCCCTCTACCAAGGCAGGAAGCGCAGCAGCTGGAGAGGGGAGTCTGCACTAGGCATGGTTTCAAACTCTGTTGCGGAGTGGCCGCTTCATGCTTGTTAGACAAGGCAGGAGTCCATCTCCTCACAAGAAAGCACGATGTCTTTCACTTCTGCAAAACCTATTACCAACGGGTAATTATGACGAGTGAGTCAGGATAAGATTTCTCTCCTTTAGAATCTGTCTTTATGAGTCCTTTAGTCCATCGGTTGTCCTACCTTTTGGTCTCAGGACTCCTTTACATTACAAAAAATTATCAAAGAAGCCCGGCATGGTGGCTCACTCCTGTAACCCCAGCACTTTGGAAGGCTAAGGCAATGGATCTCTTGAGCCCAGGAGTTGCAGACCAACCTGGGCAACATGGGGAGACCCTCGCCTCTACAAAAAAAAACAAAAAAAAATTTACCAGCGTAGGGACATGTGCCTGCAGTACCAGTTACTCCAGAGGCTGAGGTGGGAGGAAACCTTGAGCCTGGGAGGTGGAGGCTGCAGTGAGATGTGATTGCACCGCTGCACTCCAGCTTGGGTGAAAGAGTGAGACCCTATATCCAAAAAAAAAAAAAAAGTATTGAAAACCTCAAAGACTTTTACTTTATGTGAATTAATGGAGATATTAATAAAACACAACATAGCACACATTCCATTAGCCATCAGAGCAGTGACCTCATTACACACGTGTAGCCTCCAGCAAATTCTACAGTACCTTGTGAGAAAATGACGGTGAAAGGAAAATATTTTAGTTTTGTGAAAACAATTTTGACCTTATAGACTCCCTGAAAGGCTCTTCGGCACACCCACAGGTCCTTGGACCATACTTTGAGAATTGCTGTTCTATTCTGTGGGCAAACTCTGTCTTACCCCCTGCGGAACTGGGAAGGCCAATCAGTGGCACACATGCTGTATGTCTGACCTACATGCTGTAAGGGCATTGTGGTTGGGTCCCTCAGTGGGTTGGGGTCTTGAGATTCTAGAGGGGAAGTCCTGGGATCCAGTCTCCAATCCAGTGCAGCAACCCTTATAGGAGTCTGCAGGATTGTAGGCTTGAGAGCTGGTTTGATTTTCATGGTTGGTTAATCATTAGAGAGGTCTTCTGAGCCCAAATTGGCCCCTAGACACTGCAGGGTTTACCCTGAGCACCACGCAGGTTGAGTCTCTTTTCTTATCATAACAGAACTCTTAGTATTCTTTCCTATTCCTGCCTAATGTCTTTTTTTTTTTTTTAAATTTATTTTATTTTATTTTATTTTTTTTGAGTGTTGCTCTGTCACCCAGGCTAGAGTGCAGTGGCATGATCTTGGCTCACTGCAACCTCAGCCTCCCCGTTTCAAGTGATTCTTCTGCCTTAGCCTCCTGAGTTGCTGGGATTACAGCCGTCCACCACTTGCACCTGGCTAATTTTTATATTTTTAGTAGAGATGGGATTTCACCATCTTGACCAGGCTGGTCTCGAACTCCTGACCTCATGATTGACCCGCCTTGGCCTCCCAAAGTGCTGGGATTATAGTTGTGAGCCATCGTGCCTGGCCTGATGCCTTTTATACTTGTTCTTTCTTCCCCCTGGAAAGTTCTCCCCTCATTTATCCACAGGCTTGCTCCCTTACCTCCATCTGGCTTTGGCTCAAGTGTCTCTCAATGGTTTCTTCTTGATTACTCTCGTAAAGGTGATATCAACTGCTGCCACCACTACCATCTGCCTTCCCTGCTTTATTTTTATTTATAGCACTTAATCACCATCTGATAAAAAATTTTGTTTATTGCTACCCCTTCCCCTGAGTCATCTTCATAAGGGTAGGGATTTTTGTCTGTTTTATTTGCCTCTGCATCCCCAGTATCCAGAAGAATGCCTGGCCATAGCAGATGCTCAACAAATATTTGTTGAATGAAAAGGAAAATGTAAAGCCAGCTTCATTGTGGCTGGTCTGCTGAAGAGTAATCTTGGAAAAGTGCAGTTATTGCAGGTCCGGTGATGCTAGGATGGGAGGAGCTGAGGGGGTGCTGGGTGTTATGGAGTTAGCTTGCAATATACAGTTGTCATTTTGCCTTGTTCTTTTTCATTGGATGGACTACACAGGTGTCTGTTAAAATCTCAGTTTGATTCAGAAGCTTGTAGCTTCTATGTCTCAGTCACCCATGGCTATGTTTTCTCTCTCTTTTTTCTTTTCTTTTTTTGAGACAGAGTCCTGCTCTGTCACCCAGGATGGAGTGCAGTGTTGTGATCATAGCGCACTGTAACCTTGAACTCCAGGCCTCAAATGGTCTTCCTGCCTCAGCATCCCAAAGTCTTGGGATTGCAGGCATGAGCCACCATGCCCGGCTGTCTTTTCCTTCTGGGAACAGTTGTAACAAGGTAGAAGGGACATGTTAATAGTGGTTCAGTTTTATTTTCTTTTAAACCATCCTAATGTTAAAATCTATGGCTTCTTCTAATTGCCATGTATTTTAACAGTGAAATGGAGTAGTGAAGGTTTTTTTCCTGTTTTTTTTTTTTTGTTTGTTTTTTTGTAGAGATAAATAGCCCTACCCTGAGGATATCCGTATGAGAGAGGCAGAGGCAGTTGCACCAGTACAGTAAGTGCAAGGGTCCGGGGGCTCGCCAGTGGGCAAGGTAAGGTAAAGAAGAGTCCTGAAGACTCTTCTTTCAGCCTGTGCCCTGCCGAAGACGTGTCTGGTGGGGCAGGATCAGTGTTCGACAGGAATGGTTATTGATGCACACAGTGGGAGTCTGGGTGCCCTGCTTGTCAGAACAGAACTGTAGGTATTGAAGAAGTTGTACATGGTAAGATTCATTTCTTTAAAAAAACTCTTTTTGAGCTCCTATGTAGTAGTATATGGCAAGTATTTCAGTATTTGGGAACATGAAGGTGAATAAGATATAGCCCTTGGCATAAAAAAAACAGAAAAGTCCCTGACTTGTGTTAACTTGAAAAGAGAAGACAGGAAAGGTGGCACCTGAGGATGTAACAAGGTCAGTGTGGCATTTACCTGGGCAATCATCTGGGATTGGGAAGGTGAGCTGGACAGAGCCTTTCTAGATTTGGAGTCAGGTGGCACTCCTGAGCAACAATGCAACTAGCAGGGTATTAACTGAAAAAAGATATGACTCTGAATAACAAGCAAAGTCTATTGCATGTTAAGGCTGCATAAATATGGTGTTTAAAAGCCTGGACTCAGGAGCCAGCCTACCTGTCCACCACTTAGCACAGGACCTATTTTTGCTCCCACCATACCACTCAAACTATTCTTGTCTGGGTCCCTAGTGACTTCAGTGGTGCTCAATCCAGAGGTCAGTTCTCAAATTCTTGATTTATTTGGCCTACCATTCACATTTAACCCACTTGCTTACTTTCTGCTCCTTGAAGTACTTTCTTCAATCGGCCTCCTACTCTTCTGATTTTCCCAGCAACCTTGCTGGCCACTTCTCATTCTCCCTTGCTAGCTGCTCTTCTTTCCCCAGACTTATTAGGGTGAGAGGGCCCTGAGTCTATTCCTAGACCTTTTCTCCTGTGGACATCCTGTTGCAGACCTTATCTAGTCCCATGGCTTTAGAGACCATCTACGTGGTGATGATGCCCTCATCTTTATCTCTGGCCCAGGCCTCTCCCAACTCCAGACTTACATATTCACCTACCAGCTGGACCTTGGCACTCGGTTGTGTGCTTGACATGTCAACTGCACAGATCCAAAACCAAATTTCTGACCTTCCCCTGGAAATGATAACCTCATCCTTTCATCAGCAAGTTCTGTTTTTTCTTTTTTCTTTTTTTTAAATTTTGAGATAGGGTCTCACTCTGTTGCCCAGGCTGGAGTGCAGTGGCACGATCATAGCTCACTGCAGCCTCATCCTCCCAGGCTCAAACCATCTTCCTACCTCAACCTCCTAAGTAGCTGGGACCAGAGGCGCCTGCCACCATGCCTGGCTAATTTTTAAATTTTTTGTAGAGACAGGGTCTTGCTATGTTGTCCAGGCTGGTCTCAAACTTTCGGGATCAAGCTTCCCAAAGTGTTGGGATTATAGGCATGAGGCACCGTACTGGCCAGCAAATCCTGTTTTCTAGACTACATCTGGAGTTTGATCATTTCCATCAATCCTGTCACTCCCACTTTGATTATTTTGGTAATGTCCTAAGTGACCTACTTGTGTCTGCCCTCATCCCTCTATTCATCCCAGCCTCCAGGGTGATCCTTTGAACACACTGTCAGCTGATGTCACTCCTCTCTCAAAAACCTGGACTAGCTCCCATTTGACTCAGTTGAAAGCCTGAACTCTTCCTGGGGCTTTTCCAGGGGCCCACCGACCCTGCATGGCTTGGCCTTACTCACCTCTCTGACCTCTGCCTCCTGCTTTCCTCTTCAGCTATCCCTTTCAGTCGTGCTGGCCTCTTTGCTGGTCTTTCAGTACATGGAGGCCCTCCCTGCCTCAGGGCCTTTGCACTGCTGTTTCTGCTTTCTGGAGGGAATGCTCTTCTCTTAGATATCCCCTTAGTGGGCCCCTTGTCTCCTTCATGGCAAGGCTTAGATGTCTTTCTAGACAGTGACTTTTCTGGTCCTCCTACTTAAAATCACCCCTGCAACCCTGTGCCACAGTACTCACTGTCCGTTTTCTGGCTTACGTGTTCTTTTTGTGGTTTTTGTTGTCAAATGATCCTTTATAGAAATGTTTTCCTTTGTGCTCCTTAACTAGCTGGGCATTCCGCTGCACCATTGTTGATGTCACCTATGATGTCATGAGTGTGGCAGCCATCAAGATTCAGCCCACAGACTGGGAAGTCCCCAGGATCTCTTTAATGGTTCCAGAGAGTTCTCTGGCTAAAGATTGGTGCTGCATCTGTTGAGCAATGTTGACAACCTAATCAAAAGTGATATTTCCACTGTGTTTAACGTTATCCTGTTTCTTTCTGTCTCTTGGTGGTTCCTTGAAGGCTTCGATGATCTGGGCAGAAGCAGAAGGTACCACCTCAATCTGGGCCTGTCTGTTCTGAATGGTCAGTTTCCCTGTAGTCCTCAGACCCCTCCAGTCACTGGTTGGCTTGGCAATGTCATCACCAATCTTTTTTGGAGACAGAAGCAGGGGGGCTGATGTTGGGGGCCAGCACAGACGAGGCATTGACTTCACCCCCAGCGCAACTCAGGTGTACGACTTTCATCTCATTAGGGTCCAACTTAGGCGGCATGGTGGAGGCGGCTCGTGGCAGATGAACCCAGATTTGGGAAACCGGAAGAAAGTTACATCTTGGCCTCCTCCAAGATGAAAGACTTCAAGCCGGCTTACATGTTCTCCACAGCAATTAGCACCACCAGGGCCCTGTGTGTCACTCACTGCTGTATTCTCAGTGCCTAGAACAGTGTCTGGCACATGGTAGGCTCAGCAGAAATAATTGTGTTGAATGCAGGCGGTGGGAAAGTCCAGGCACAATGTTTGGGTGGAGACTGGCACACAGCGAACAGCTGCTATTAGCATCGATACTGTCATTGCACGGCTAGAGGCCAGACATATGTGTGAGTGTGTGTGTGTTTTACATTTAAGCAGTTTTCAGTGAAAAGATCATACAGTGACCTTATTTCTAGACCAGTAATAGTTGAAAAGGCAACAATAAATAAATAATAAAATGAAAATAGATGCATATTGAACAGACTGCTTCTGAAGAGAAATGCAGGTATTTTGAGGTTGGATGGGGGCCTTAGGCAGATTAAGTGTATTGGATTAAAACCGAACCAAAACTGAACCAGAGTGAATCCCACCCCTCCATTATCCCGCAGTATGGGTTTGGTTTTCCTGGGAATATATTTGTTTAACATGATGGTGTCCTGATAGATGAATCAGGTGCCCATGGCTTTAATCATAACATTTCCGCTTGCTTGCTGTGTCTCCCAGTTGGAAACCATGTAGAAGTTCTTGGGTAGACTGCCTGGAAGTTGTGCAGTTAGATCTCTTATATAGGCCAGTGGTCCCTAGACATTTCACGAGCCAGACCTCTACATGAACAAATAAACTAATATTACTCTTCGAAGGCTGCCTCTACCTTTTTGTAGGTAATAATTGTTGCCTGTTTACAATTAACCAAAGACATAACTGTCAATCTCAGCTTTTGATTAGCATCTATTACAGTTACCCAGTGTCTTCTACCCTGTTGATCTAATTCTAACCAACAGTGAGACATTTGATTGCTTAATTCGCCTTAGCAGACGTTCTTGGTAGACGTACAGTTTCCATTTCGTTTTTGAAGTATTTAAATAACCCCAGGGACCCTTATTACTGCATAAGAGGATGCCTAGGGGATGGGGACCCTGTAGGTGATTCATCTCTTAATATTACTTCAACAATCAATGGTTTTTAAATTTTTTTTTTTCTTTTTTGAGACTGTGTCTTGCTCTGTTGCCCAGGCTGGAATGCAGTGGTGGGATCTCAGCTCACTGAAACTTCCGCCTCCTGGTTCAAGCAATTCTCCTAACTCAGCCTCCCAAGTAGAGTAGCTGACACTACAGGCGCGCGCCACCACGCCCAGCTAATTTTTGTATTTTTAGTAGAGGTGGAGATTCATCATGTTGGACAGGCTCGAACTCCTGACCTCAAGTGATCCACCCTACTCGGCCTCCCAAAGTGCTGGGATTATAGGCGTCAGCCACTATGCTCGGCCTAAAATTTGTTTTTTTGAGATGGAGTCTCGCTCTGTCCCCTAGGCTGGAGTGCAGTGGCGCTATCTCTGCTCACTGCAACCTCCGCCTCCTAGGTTCAAGCAATTCTTCTGCCTCAGCCTCCCAACTAGCTGGGACTACAGGCGCCCACCACCACGCCTGGCTAATTTTTTGTATTTTAGTAGAGACGGGATTTTACCATGTTGCCAAGGCTGGTCATGAACTCCTGAGCTCAGGCAATCCACCTGCCTTGGCCTCCCAAAGTGCTGGGATTACAGGCGTAAGCTACCGTGCCAGACCAATAAGGTGCCTTTCAATAGAAGCACACATGAAACAAGGCTATGTTTTGATCAGTTGATGAAAATGTTATGAATAGGAACTTAACCTTTTGTTTCCCTTAGGAACAACAGTTTAGTATTTGCTAATTTTGTGTTTGTGGCAACTTTATAAAATATAACTACCATGAATAATGAGAATTGCTTGTAGATTGAAACTTCATAATCCAAGGGAAGCATGTTACTTAAAAGGCTGAAGTCAAACCCTTTAGTAAAGTGAATATGTTCCAAATATTTCTTTCTCCCTCCCTCCCTCCCTCCAGTCCTTCATTCTCTGTCTCTTTCTTTCTTTTTCTGAGATAAAGTCTCATTCTGTAGCCCAGGTTGAAGCACAGTAGTGCGATCTGCAGCCTCAACCTCCTGAGCTCAAGCAATCCACCTCAGCCTCTTGAGTACCTGGGACTACAGGCATGCATCACCATGCCTGACTAATTTTGGTATTTTTTGTAGAGACAGGGTTTTGCTGTGTTGCCCAGGCTGGTCTCAGACCCCTGAGCTCAAGTGATCTACCCGCCTCAGCCTCTAAAGTACTGGAATTACAGGTGTGAGTCACCATGCCCCGCCGAAATATATATATATATATATTTTTTTTTCTGTAAACCTGGATCTTCACATTTCTAGCTTTCTTGATACATTGTTCTTGTCACTAGTATGTCTGCCACTTACACCTGAATTCCTTGAGCACTGCACTTCTTTGTACAGTGCATCTTAATAAGCAGATATGTTATAAATGCCAGTTGTTGAGGTTGGGAGACACTCAGGGGCCAGGAGTGAAATGGCCTGGCCTCAGATGAACATGCACCACTGCTCAGCATGTGCAACAGCTTGGAGAGAATCTATCCAGCAGAGACCATCCAGATCTCTGCGAGCGAACCTGAAGGCTTTGTGAGAGAAAGAAATGCGATCCATGTCCTAAAGGGACGGGAGCAAACTATGAAATCAGGGGCTCATTAGGACTCTAGTTTCATCCTTGGTTGTACATTGGGATCACCAGGGGAGCTTTAAAAGTAGCATCTCTGTGGCCGGGCGCGGTGGCTTACGCCTGTAATTCCAGCACTTTGGGAGGCTGAGGTGGGCGGATCACAAAGTCAGGAGTTTGAGACCAGCCTGCCCAATATGGTAAAACCCCATCTGTACTAAAAATACAAAAATTAACTGGGTGTGGTGGCGAGCGCCTGTAATCCCAGCTACTCAGGAGGCTGAGGCAGGAGAACTGCTTGAATCTGGGAGGCTGAGGTTGCAGTGAAGTGAGTTTGGATTGCACCACACAGCCTGGGCAACAGAGCGAGACTCTGTCTCAAAAAAAAAAACCAAAAAGTAGCATTTCTGAGTCCCACCTCCAGAGATTCTGATGTGATTGGTCTGGGGTGGATCCAGGCATTGGACTTTGAAATTTGAAAAGCTTTGTGGGTGATTCCAGTGCATAGCCAGAGTTGAAGCCTCTGCCTTTGGGGATGTTGGTTTTGAGATCTGAAGGAGCGGGACCATCCGGTCTGCCTGGGAGACAATGAATGGGCTTCTCAGGTGTCTCTTAGATGGTATCAGGTATATCCTTGGAGGCCCCTGAGACTGACTTCTTTAACTCTTGCCCAGTTCATTGCTAGGACAGGCATGGCACAAACTCAAAACTGGTGACTGCTATTGCTTTCTCATCTTAGAATCAACATTTTGATTGAAAAGGGGGGTCCCATCCCCTTTTGATTGAAAAGGTGGGTCTCATCCCAGACCAATCAGATCAGAATCTCTGGAGGTAGGACTCAGAGATGCTTCTTTTAAAGCTCCCCTGGTGATCCCAATGTATAGCCAAGGTTGAAACTAGAGTCCTAATGAGCCCCTGATTTCATCCTGATTTCATAATTTGCTTCTGTCTATTTAAGACATGGATTGTCCTGGCAGGTGAATCTACATGGACTCAAAAGTCTAAATTCTAGTTTGATATATTTTCTCTTGAAATGTGACTAATTCATTTCCTCTCACAGGTTCCTGACCTCCCCCCTCCCCTCTCCCCCGTATTATACCTTGATGTTGCCTTTTTTCTTTTCAGCAAAGTGAGTTGAATTCCTTCTTGTGGACCATTAAGCGAGACCCGCCATCTTACTTCTTTGGCACGATCCATGTCCCATACACCCGAGTTTGGGACTTCATCCCCGACAACTCTAAGGAGGCTTTCCTGCAGAGCAGCACTGTGTACTTTGAGTTGGACCTCACAGACCCCTATACGATCTCAGCTCTCACCAGCTGTCAGATGCTGCCACAGGGCAAGAACCTCCAAGATGTGCTCCCCAAGGACATCTACTGCCGCCTCAAGCGCCACCTGGAGTATGTCAAGCTCATGATGCCCTCGTGGATGACCCCAGACCAGCGTGGCAAGGGACTCTACGCAGACTACCTCTTCAATGCCATTGCCGGAAACTGGGAGCGCAAGAGGCCTGTCTGGGTGATGCTTATGGTCAACTCCCTTACTGAAGTGGACATTAAGTCCCGTGGGGTGCCTGTCTTAGACCTGTTCCTTGCCCAGGAGGCTGAGCGGCTGAGGAAACAGACGGGGGCAGTGGAAAAGGTGGAAGAGCAGTGCCATCCATTGAATGGGTTGAACTTTTCACAGGTAAGACTCTCTTTGCATAAAAGACTTGGTGGTGTTTGGTTGTATGGGTGAATCTGCTGAGTTTCAGGGCAGGTGATGCACCACGGGCACAGCTTGTCTAGAAATTGTCTTTGCTCAAAAATGCTTTTCTGGAGGTTAGAAAATAAGCCACGTGGTCAGTTATATCACTTATTTGAGTATTGCCAAGAAAGAAAATCTTGTTTTTTCTTATCATTACAACAAATACTGTGTGCTTGTTTTTTTTTGTTGTTTTTGTTTTTTTTGAGACAGAGTCTCACTCTGTCACCCAGGCTGGAGTGCAGTGGTGCCATCTCAGCTCACTGCAACCTATGCCCTCTGGATTCAAGCAATTCTCCTGCCTCAGACTCCCTAGTAGCTGAGATTACAGGTGTGTGTTACCATGCCCAACTACTTTTTGTATTTTTAGTAGAGACAGGGTTTTGCCATATTGGCCAGGCTGGTCTTGAACTCCTGACCTCAAGTGATCCACCTGCATCGGCCTCCCAAAGTACTGGGATTACAGGTGTGAGCCCCTGCGCCCGGCCCATACTGTGTGCTTTTAAATGCATTTTAGTTCAGATCCTTCATTAAAAAGATGCTTTGAGAGGTTGTGGACATGTGGATGCCACACTGGTTGTCACAGGGCATGGCCTGGTTTGAAAATGATACTGGCCATTGCTGTTTTAGGTGATAGCAGTCTCTTTGAGGTCACTACTGTCCCTCTTCAGGGCACTGCCCCAGGACAGTTCCTTTCCTAGGCAGAGTTATGCTCCCCTTACCCATGGTTTAAGGATCCTACCCTAGGGCATTGGAATTTAGGTTAATGTTCAAGAAGTTAGTTCTTCAATTCTTATAAGTAATACTTTATTAAAGTGCTGTGGTTTAGTTGTTTCCATGAAAGTTGTTTAAAGTACATTAGATACTTCTGGAGACCAGTGGGAGCTTTGCAATATGAAATAAAGTGATCTTGTTTTGTAAATGTTCTCATTGGGTTGCCTTGAGGTTTTGTTCCTCAGAATTTGAGATTACTGTTAATCCAAATAGCTCAGCCTTAGCAGATCTTGACATACTCAACTAAGGTGGTTATTTAAAAGCTGTAAGGACATGTGACAGCCTAAAAATAATGTTCCTGAGTTGATAATGATATCTTTAGGGAATTTATCTTGCTAAAATTCTATAATATTAATAAGTACTCAGATGCTATTCTATATGCTATAATATTTGTTTGGCACACTAAGATTTATAGATAAGATAAAGGATCATTATTAATTGTCTGCATTGATCTCCTGGGAAAAATGTTCTTGCATTATTATGGAAACCCAAAGAGCCAATGTTATAACCTTTTCAATGTCTGCATTTAATATAATATTTTCTAAAAGAAAGGTGCCTTGATTTGAAGGCTTATTGATTTTGACCGAATGGGTTTGAAATTGGTGAGCATCTAAATCTGAGCCAAAGCCTTCTTTCATACTCCCAATTGGGGAAAAAAAGACTTGGAAGTAAAATGTTAGCTCAAGCAATGTATCTCTGAAGGAAGGGGTGCAACACTGTCTCTTAAGATAACATATTTCAGCATTATTTTAGAGCACAATAATTATAGACTACAGTGTCATGTTGATTTTATAACACATTCTTAGGGTTTATGTAGGTGTTTAAGATGTATAAACTAATTTCTTGTAAGACCTTGAGGTTAAGCTAGCAAGGTAGAGTTGTTTAAATTTAGGAGGAAAGCATGACTTGTTCTTAAGAGTCTTTTTTTTCATGTAACTTCCCCGTGTTTCCTTTCTAGAGGTAAACAGTAAAATACAACCTGAGTATACAGCTCAATGACTTTTTTTTTTTTTTTTTGGAGACAGTGTCTCACTCTGTTGCCCAGGCTGGAGTATAATGGCGCCATCTCAGCTCACTGTAGCCTCTGCCTCCCAGGTTCAAGCGATCTTCCTGTCTGGGATTACAGGCACCTGCCACCATGCCTGGCTGATTTTTTTATGTTTAGTAGAGATGGGGTTTCACCACGTTGGCCAGGCTGGTCTTGAACTTCTGGCCTCAAGCGATCTTCCTGCCTCAGTCTCCCAAAGTGCTGTGATTACAGGTGTGAGCCACCACACCTGGCCTCAGTGTATGACTTTCAGCCATCACTTAACTTCTCTCAACTTTAGTTTCCTCATCTTTCCAATGGGGATAATAATACTTGCCCTACCATCCTGTTATCAGAAGCAAATAAAAGCAGGAAATTGGAAAGCACTTCATAAATATTACAAGATATAAGCAGAAGGGAGTGAATATACAGTGCCTACTATGAGACAGTCCTCACTGATAATTTTATATTTAACTCTGAAACTTCTCAAGATGAGTGGAATCATTGATTTTGCATAGGGAAATTGTTTTTCTTCTTGGTTTCCCGTAGACAAAGATTTTTTCAAAGAAGTTAAAGGAAAAGAGGACAAAAGCATAAAACAGAAGGGCTAGCAGAGGTTGCAAATAAGAGGCATATGGGCTGAATCCGGCTCGCAGTTCTGTTTTATGTGGTTAGCATATTTTCTTTTCTTTTTTAATGACTAAGTTGACAATATTTAAAAATTGAGAAATATCATATGGAGAACAGCCTGGATTCTCTTGAGCCCTCAGAGGATCTGGAGTACTGGGGCCATGCTCCCACATAGCAGCAGTTGGCTGGACTGAGCACTGGCCGCCCCCTTTAGACGGGGCCAATAATGTCTTTCCAGTTTGTCCGGGGTCCCCACTCCTCCCTGTTGCCTTTCGCCTAGCCCTCTTGACTTCTTTTAACTCATCTGCCTGGCCCCTGTAGGCCTTGTGGCTCTTGGTTTGTGGGGTGTCGGTCCCTGAATCTAACTGAAGTCTGGCAACAGGACCCTGACATGGATGCCTGGATTTGATCTGGTCATCTCAGGGCAGACATCATCCTTGCCCCTCAGTATCAAATCAAGTTATGACTCCTGTTCTCCTTCACATAAAGTTCATGCCTGCTTGGTACTGCCAGCTGCATTGGCGTTCCCTATGTGAAGAAAGCACATAGCTTGGACCTGGAGGTTCAGCGGAGTGGGCTCAGCAGGGTGGTGTCTCACTTCCCCTCTGTCTGCACAGGTGGGCTCCCCTAGAGAAACGGTCTTGCTAAATCCCATCTCCATGTTCATACATCACCAGGCATCTATGGATAGGCTCTAGGCATGGGGAATTGCAATGCCTGCTCTGCCCATCTAAGCATAGGACTCTCCTGTCCACTTCCCCACCAATGGATTGGATGTCATGGTGGGTGGGACGGGAATCTGTGAAAGCTCTGGTCTCCTGCATTGGAATCTGTCCTTTAGGACCCAGTCACATCTTGGCTTGGGCTCTTTTTTGTCATATCCTTAAGTGAACATGAATGTAGCCAACAGTTCTGGAGTTTCCCTCTGCTTTCCACATGCAAAGCCTACATCTTTAGGCTTTCAACATCCTAAGAGGCAGTTAATTGGATGTAAAAGTCCTTTTGCAAACCCCAGAGTTGATGCTGAGGTCTTATCTGAATTGAGACTGTGCAAAGCGTCACTTCTTTGTTACTGTTTACTCCTGCCAATAGATGGCACTAACATGTTTCATATTTGCCTTTTTGGCTGTCACTCCTTTGTACTTTCCAGTAGGATGGTTACTGCCAGTTCTTGCTCTTCAGTACCCTAACAACTCACTCTCTCTGCTGAAAAACCCCCCTTTTTCCCCCACAGTGCAACCTTCAGTAGTGGTTTGGGCTCAGTGGACATACTTCCAGATTGTATGAAACTGCAATTCTTGAGTTACAGTTTTGGGGTGTTGGAGAAGATGGGGACTTTGTTCTTTGGAGCAAGTTGTCTTTAGTTTGGTCGGTCGCCTAATACAAGAAACAAATGGCTCCAGGATGATTCTCTGGAAAGGTCCAGGGCAGAGTGGAGTGGTGGAGGCAGCCCCGCTCCCCAGGAGCCCTGTGGTCTGGCTGAGGAGGAAGGGCAAATTCCTAGAAGGATGCCACCTCTCTCAGCCTGTGGTTATTAAGGGCTAGGTGGATGCTGGAGGGGTGAGAGCTGGGGAGGTGCTAGCTGGCCTGAGGAAGACTCCTATGGAGGAAGGGGTCAGATTCTTTGAGGATGGGTTGGCCTGCCAGGCCTAAGGGAGAGGATCCCAGGGATACCATATGGTACCTTGTTTTGTACTTTGCAGGTTTCTGCATATTCTTACATCAGTGCCGTGGGTCTTAAGAACAACCCTTGAGGCTAGGAGGTCTCTGTTCCTAGAGGCTAAGGCAAGAGTGTGGGGGGTCAGCCAGCAGAGGTCACTGGGGATGGTTTCCTGCTGGAATAACCTGGGAGAGGCCCATCTGGAGGCAGAGAGTGGGCCGGCCTGGGGTCACAGAAAGAGTTAGTGCACGACAGGCCTCGGCTCTCAGATCTCCTCTTTCTAATCCAGCTCTGCCTCTGAGTGTCATGTGGGACCCCTGTTGATTTCAGTGGGGATGGCACTAGGTTCAAAAGGTGGAAGAAGAGACCCAGAGCCAGCAAATGAGACACAGGGTTTATTGAGAGGACTGACTTACAGGGTGATCCAGTGGCAGTGGGCTGGACAGGAGAATCCCAATCGCTTGTAAAAAACATGCAGTTGATAAATCACCTTCACTTAACACCTGCTCCTACATGGCCATCCTCATTTAACTCAAAGCAAAGGGCCTCAATCCCTTGTGTGGTCCATGTTCCACAGGATGGACCAGGGGTTCGGATGTTCCTTATAGATAAGGAATGAATCTCTGGGTTGGCCACTCCTGGATTCCTTAGCTCGGAACTCTGAACACACATTCTTCTTTTGAAGTTATTGCTGTCAGGTGCACCTATATACACTGAGTGCTGCCAACTGCCACACTTAGAGGAGTAATTGGCTTAGGGATTCTGGCTTCCTCATCATAAATTTCAATAAAAGCAGGAGGTCACATTTTAAAAAAAAATTGACTATGATGCTCATAGATGACTTTTCCACAT